TTTGGGGGGGGGGGGCACATCGTAGTCACTCGCCTGAAAAATGAAGAACCACTAAATTACATTTTCCAGCATATTTTTTCTCTCTGTTGAGGATTCATGCCTGGAGTAGCAGAGCCAATATACTAATACACCCAAATCAGTGAAGGAACAATTAATCAGAAGAGGGTAGTCCGACAGCAACACAGATGGTCTTGATGGTTTTCCGTTTGAAATCAGGCTACATATACCTGTACCCTTTGGAATTCACAGCCTGGGGAGGAGTAATATACTTTACATTAACTCGGATTTCAGGATAGTCATGGAATGCAATTGTTGACCATGAGCAAGCACATACAACAATAGGTTCTTTAAGTCTTAGGCTAGTCTAAGGATGTCTCTGTTGACTTATTTGCAGGAATTAACTTTCCTTGTAATAATTCTCAAAATTATCTGAAGGCTCTCTCAGGAAACATATTTGTTTCTGAACAAGTCAGCAAGTTATAAAAATTCCAGTCTTGGAGTGAGACAATAGCGTGATAGGCTAACTACAAACAGGAAATCTAGCCAACATACTGTCAATAAACTATGGCCCCTAACTTTCAGACTCCCCATTTTTCTTTTTAGGAGAGAAAGCTGGGTTCACACCACCCACATTTTCATTGGCAGTCCAGCACTTACTAAGTTTATGGACATTTCTTATAAACATTTCTACGGAAACGTGTCAAATAGGCACATGAACAAAAAGGCACATTATCTTCTTTTTAAGTATTTTATTTAAAAGCAACATTGTTATATATTATTGACTTATAAATAAAACTGTGAAAGAAACTTTGTAACACTACATATTTAGATGAAATGTATAATATTTAATACAACATTTGAGATATTGGGTTCAATGTATTGTCAGGGTCTCGGGTCAGTATGGCAATTTGCACTGAATTGTTTGTCTTATATTTGATGTTTGCTTTCTAATATATTTTTTACAGTGTTTAAACTTATTACTGACGTAATGCTTTCATGAATGAAACCAATTTCCTGGGATTAATAATTTGCGTTCCCTTAAAGTTTACTACACAGAAAATTTCAAGATTAGAAGGTTTAGAAGAAAGTGAATTTGGATATGTATTTGTCTCATTAAATGGGTAAAAGTCAGACTAAATGGTAGGAAGTAAATCTAAACAGTTTCTGTAATTTTCATTGAGGAAATTGAAATGTGTCAAAATGACATGGTCCCACTAGAAGGACTTGATGTGGAAGCCTGACTGAATGAACTGGGCCCTACCTGAAAAAGACCTATACTCTTGGACTTAGCACTGAAATACCCTGATGGGAGAGGAAGCAAAAGATGGCCACCCTAAGATTGTGGAAATGGAGTCATTGGACTTTGGGTGGTGTCCAATGAAAGGAGAACCACCATGTATTTAGTACCTCAATGCGCTCCTTGCATTAATATGACAGGTTTTAATCAGAGGCAAGGGGTCTGCCCTTATAAGAATTCAGACAGGAAATTTTCCCCTAGCACCAACCAACATGCTCAATGTAATCAGAGCTCAATCAATTAAGAAATCAATCTGTACAAAGCAACGACAAATTGATTACAGCTTGAAGTTGGACGATACTCACATAAACTCGTATCAACAGTACCTTAAATTCTGTCATTGGATAAATTATTGATGTTATAAATGAAATCACTTTATACCCTAGGGGAATGAGTGACAATGTTTTTCTTCTTTGTTTTATTGTTGTTATTCTTTGTTTTGTCATAATATGACCACCAAAGTAAACCAGAGTTGTTCATAACTTGTGGACAAACAGATGGATTCTGGGCTCCCACTTAATTCTAGCCCCAATAGAAGAACAGTTGGTTTTTATAACATGGCCCTACTTGATATTCACCTTCATGAACAGATCACTGAAGATAAGGATACTTCAGCAAAGTAAGGATAGCAGATGGTACCTGGCTATCAATTGGAATAGTGCCTGGGGTCTTAAAGGATTATATTCAAACAAGCAGCCATCTAAGTAAGGTGTCAACTAAGTCCACATAGAAGAAGCACACCAACCTGTGTGTTCCAAAGATGACAATAACAAATTCCAAGTATGATGAAGGGAAAGTATCAGAGCTTAAATTTTGTACACCCAGTTTGTGGAAAGCTATGGAGGGTGGTGAGAACCCAAAAATCCATCTGCAGAGCATCTAATCAGATTAAGGCTGTGGCAGATCCCCTCTAACTACAGGTTAGGGACTCAAACACCTTTACTGTTAGATAGAGATTATTGTACACTTGAGTATGGTGGATGGAACCATAGTATAATATGACACTTGGTCAGTTGACCTATCTCTTGACCCAACCTGAATTTACTCTAGGCTCAAATATTTCTTGCTTATCCCATAACAGAAATTTCTGGCTTTATAAATATTGCTGGTGGTCTCTTTCTTACTCTTTATTTTTATCTTTACATTATTTTACTGTTTTCTTCTTTTCGTTTCATTTTATTTTTGTTTTTTATTGTTTCTGTTAGGTTTCCCAGTTTCTGAAACACAGGAGTAGACACAGAGACAATAGCTAAAGCAATGGTGTATTGGGAACTGGGAGAGGGAGTGGGAGGAGGGAGAGGGAATTTGAGAAGCAATCAGTGAATGTGGGAGGGGGAAGGGAGCATTAGAACTTATATGATGATGTTCAAGGGGATACTCCCCCCTCCCCGCAAAAATGGGATAAAGCTCCGCTGGGTGGAGCTTTCTTAGTACCCATTTTTCCCGCTAGGCAAGCATCAAGCAACTCACTCTGAGTTAGTGCACCCAGTGGAGTTGCCTGGGGTGGTGCTCTCTGGTCACAGTGAATTTTTTCATAAAAACAGTTTCACTTGAACCTTGTTTTTTGTGATGGCCAGGTTAAGAGAACAGCATGTGGCTGTGAAATTTTGTTTCCTGCTCAGGGAAAATGCTGTAGAAACTGTTGTGATGTTGAACACAGCCTACAAGGACAGCACTATGGGAAAAACTCAAGTGTACAGTGGTTTTCTCGTATCAAAGAAAGTGAAATGACAATTGATGACAAACCTCCTTCTGGATGTCCGTCAGCTTCCCAAATGGACCAGAATGTCGACTTGTCATACTATGGAGTTCTTCCACCAGGTCAGACTGTTCATCAAGCTTTCTATTTAGAGCAGCCATTCTCAACCTGGGGGTCGAACGACCCTTTCACAGGGGTCGCCCAATTCTTAACAGTAGCAAAATTACAATGATGAAGTAGCAACAAAAGTAATTTTATGGTTGGGGGTCACCACCACATGAGGAACTGTATTAAAGGGTCGCGGCATTAGGAAGGTTGACAACCACTGATCTAGAGGATCTGAAAAGATTGTGTAACATAGTTGACCAAAAAGACCTGATGTGTGGCAGACAGGGAACTGGTTTTGCCTCCACGACAATGGACCCGCTCACACAGTTTTGGCAAAAAGTAGCATGCCTCTCTTTTCCCACACACCTTACTCAGCTGACCTCGCTCCTTGTGACTTCTTTTTGTTTCCAAGAATGAAGAGGGACATGAAAGGACAGCGATTTGATGACATAAAAGAGGTAAAGGAAAATACAAGGGAGGTGCTATCAGCATCCAAACAGATGAGTTTGAAAAATATTTTCAAAAATTGAATCACAGATTTGACAAATGTATAAAGTGTAATGGAGAGTACTTTGAAGATAATAAGGT